TATGACAGGTATACAGGTAACTGACAGGAATACATGTATCTATTGACAGGTATACAGGTAACTATGACAGGTATACAGGTAACTATGACAAGTATACAAGTAACTATGACAGGTATACAGGTAAGTTTGACAGGTATGCATGTTACTATGATAAGTACACAGGTAACTATGACAGGTAAAAGTTTACAGGAATATATTTCATAGTTCATACAGATAGCATACACTTGTAAATGGTAACATTATAAACAAGTATTGACATATTATATGTCATACTGGTACATAATAATGATAGTATACAGAGTTATAGTCATATACAAAAAATTATAAACAGGTAAATGGTATTGATATATTGAGTATAATATGTCCTATTTTATGATGAAACATAATAAATATGAATGGAGTCGTTACTGTCATACGTCAGACGTCAATAAACAGTATACAAATATAATCATACACTAACAGGTAACCATTTATAGAATAGGTACAATACATTCTTACATGTAACTGTCATACATCAGACGTCAATAAACAGTATACAAATATAATCATACACTAACAGGTAACCATTCATACAATAGGTACAATACATTCTTACCTGTAACTGTCATACGTCAATAAACAGTATACACATATAGTCATACACAAACAGGTAACCATTTATACAATAGGTACAATACATTCTTACACGTAACTGTCAGACGTCAATAAACAGTATAAACATATAATCATACACTAACAGGTAACCATTTACACAATAGGTACAATACATTCTTACCTGTAACTGTCATACGTGAGACGTCAATAAACAGTATACACATATAATCATACACTAACAGGTAACCATTTATACAATAGGTACAATACATTCTTACATGTAACTGTCAGACGTCAATAAACAGTATAAACATATAATCATACACTAACAGGTAACCATTTATAGAATGGGTACAATACATTCTTACATGTAACTGTCATACGTCAGACGTCAATAAATAGTATACACATATAATCATACACTAACAGGTAACCATTTATACAATAGGTACAATACATTCCTACATGTAACTGTCATACGTCAGACTTCAATAAACAGTATACACATATACTCATACACTAACAGGTTACCATTTATACAATAGGTACAATACATTCTTACCTGTAACTGTCATACGTCAGATGTCAATAAACAGTATACACATATAATCATACACTAACAGGTAACCATTCATACAATAGGTACAATACATTCCTACAGGTAACTGTCATACGTCAGACGTCAATACACAGTATACACATATAGTCATACACTAGCAGGTAACCATTTATACAATAGGTACAATACATTCTTACCTGTAACTGTCATACGTCAGACGTCAATAAACAGTATACACATATAATCATACACTAACAGGTAACCATTTATACAATAGGTACAATACATTCCTACATGTAACTGTCATACGTCAGACTTCAATAAACAGTATACACATATACTCATACACTAACAGGTTACCATTTATACAATAGGTACAATACATTCTTACCTGTAACTGTCATACGTCAGACGTCAATAAACAGTATACACATATAATCATACACTAACAGGTAACCATTTATACCATAGGTACAATACATTCTTACATGTAACTGTCATACAGGCTACACTAATGGCATATAGACATACAGCTTAACACTATTGATAATACAGTCATACAGGTAAAAAGATAGACACATTGTTCAGGTAATTACACAGGTATTGAGGCATATATCAATATAGGTATACAGGTATATATTTCTGTAGGTTAAATGATTTGAGTATATTCATGACAAAAGTATATCAAAGGAATGTACTGGCTATACTCGGAGAAGGATAAGAAATTGCGATCAAACATCACGCCATGACAGATGTATGTATGTACTGGTTGCTAGGCAACTATATCCAATTATTTACCTTTCAGAATGACATTACTCAGATTTTATATGATCTGGTGCTCATCAGAGAAGTTGTCAATTACAGCTTGTTCCCTTTGAAATCTGCAATGAGGAATTTTATCAATTCATGAAGTGGACCATTTTTAGAAAATCCCTGTTGCCGTTGAATGCTCCATTGAGATCAATTTTAAATGAATTTTTAATGACTAATTCCTTCTAGTGAAATGTTATGCAGATTGATTTTAATTTATAGTTCTAATGTGAAGTCCTGTAAGGGGTAATATCAGTCTATTTAATCGACCTCAATTTCATAATCATCATTCACTCAAATAAATTCGTAATAATATTCTGACATCATTTCAGTAAAATATTAGCCCTGGTGGGCTTCATCGTTAACAGTGTTTGATGTCGTCAAAAATGTTTGCTATGGTTTAATACCTGTTGTGTGGATTACATCAAGGAACTTACGTTTGACTCCTGCCATTGGGCTGTAACTGAAATATCAGAGTGCAGGTGAAACAATTGTTTTTCATAAAATTTCTTTCTTAAGAATGTGTCGTTTTATGTGAAATCAAATGCAAAAAAAATCACTAAGGGGAAAAGAAGAAGTTTAGCCTCTGGTTTTGAACAAAATAAGATGACTTCCAATTTTTTCTTGGACAACAATGTATTGTTATGGATCTTGGAGTCTATGTGAAATAAATGTTTTTTATGAAATTTTCTATCATAAGTCTTTTATGTGAAATAATTAAAATGACATAAAAATCGACAAGGGGAAGAAGAAGGTTAAGCTTTTGTTTTAACCAAAAAGACGTCTCCCAATTTTTACATGGACACCAAAGGAATCCTCTGTTATAGGAGAATATACTTAAGTGTTTATAATGAAATACATGTTTATTCTCTCCACAAGTGTTTATTGTGACTTCATTATTCTATCCGCACATTTCACATTTCCATTTTGATGCCTTTGGAAAGAGTTTCAAACCTTGCAGAACTTAAATGAAAAATTAATCAGATGAAATATGCAAACAAGATACCAACAGCAGTGTTCTGAGAGTAAGTAAAATGCAACGGGGCAAGGAAGGGGCTCTGACCCTGGTCCTCGATCTCGAGCCACAATCACAAAAAGGTTACTCTAACCAAATTGAGCTTAACCTGATTGGCAGGTAAAGTTCCCTATCCCAACCAAAGATTCAAGATTCAAGGGGAAATTAAGGGGAGGTTACTTAGTAAGGACGACAAAAACCTGGGTGGAATTATCTAATGATTGCCTGCGATGGGATATAGGTCCTTAAAGGATTTCCATACAAATTCTCCGTACACTATCCTTTAACCCTTTCACCACTGTGGACCACAATGGACTCATCCAGATAAAGCTATGGTAGAGTCTACTTAAGTTACCTAGGGGTGAAAGGGTTCGGTTGGAAAGTGTGATCGATAGGATGAACGATGAAGGATGGGTATCGATTAGCGAAGAGTGTACATTGTCATCCATAATCAATACTCGCCAGAGAGTTCGTCAATTAAATTACGATGGCAATAAACGTTGGTGATTGAGTGGATGGATGTTGTGTGTTCGTAGCTTCCTGTTTACCGGTATGTAATGACGGGTTCGTGACCGAAAAACCCAGCACTGTGTGCAATTCATTTAGGCCGTGTTACGAGTAAATTACATCGACCGAACATCTCACAATCGTATTTCATTACATTATAAATGTTTTAATCTACTTTGATATTTGTCATGTATTTGAAGATTCACCTGGATATTTCATTCTGTGCAAACTCCCTAATTACTCTAGCTTATATCATCTTATTAGATATACATTCCTGTCATATTATGCATTTAATGAACCCATATCATATGACTTATCATGATATGAAAAGCCCTCCAGATTATGTCTTCTCGATCAAGTGATGAAAAAAAAGTCGAAAACATCTTATATTTCATATACATCATTTACGATTAAAACTTTGACAGTTTTGTTTACCTCACCAAATGCTTGCCAAAATGAAAGAAAAGTTTAGACTTTTTTCAATCATAATTCTAAAGAAAGGGAAACTTAATTAAGATTCTATATATTTATTGATGATCAATGATCAATGTTTTGGGGAGGGATGGCTTATAAAACGAATATACGATAAACTGAGTCATCTTTTCTCAGTAATCTAATTTTAGTGTAATTTTTCGATACTGAATCTGGCCCCTGCAGTTTCATGACTATCTCTAAAGCTCAAGTTAAGTTCTGGCTTAAATTATGCAATGCTGATTTCCTGTGAGGAATTTGAAGTTCAAGGAAAAAAATATCATTATTGTATATAATGTATATTATTGTATAATTTTTCCAATACAGATATACATTTCAATCCGAAGCTGTACAATCACAGTAAAATAAAGTTAATTCTTTCTTATGTGTTTTTCAAGTCTCCTATTTGTAAAGTGTCTGATACCTGCAGGTGTTTTAATGTAAAATAATATCAGCCCAGCATCAAACACATATGTCAAATGTACATATTGATATCAAAGTAATATGTCACAAATTGAATTGATGGAAATAAATAAATATTAATTAGCCCTGTGAAAGGTGCAAGCAGCTGCTAGTTTTAAAATTTACATCAATATCTGTTCTTTTTAACTCATTCACCCCTGAAAACACATTTGAACTCTTCCAATTCAAAGGTTGGAATAGTTCATTATGAAACTTCAGGGGTGAATGAGTTAATTATATAAAATTCTGTGTACTCTTTAACTCTGAAATGGACTAATGTCTGTATTTTTGTCAAAACTGGCGAAATTTTGTGGTCCAGGAGGTCACTGTCACGTTTAGACAGTACATTTTATAATACTGTATACCAGGAATTGACAAGTCAAACTGTCACCCTTTGACAATAAAATCCTATAATAATTTTCACCGAAAATTATATTTGTCTTTTGCATTTAATTACTATGACTATATAATAAGAAAAAGGTGAAAATGAAACTGCAGCCAAACTTTCCGGCCAGTATACAGTATGTGTGTGTGTGTTTCAAGCTACCTTCTAAGTTTATACAATATCTTTGTACTTGACAGTATCCTGTTTGCGGACATGTGTGGGTTTACCCAGCTATCGTCCCAGTGTACGGCGCAGGAACTTGTCCAGTTACTCAATGAACTGTTTGCACGATTTGACCGCCTGGCTGCGGACAATCACTGTCTACGAATCAAGATCCTGGGTGATTGTTACTACTGCGTCAGTGGACTGCCCGATCCCCGTCCTGACCACGCTCACTGCTGTGTGGAGATGGGGCTCGACATGATACAGGCCATCTCGTAAGTTTGGTTTGTTTGTTTGTGTTTTCCGTCCTATTAACAGCTATGGTCATTTAAGGACAAGCCAGCTAGGTTTTGGTGGGGGAGGAAAGCTGGAGTTCCCGGAGAGAAACCACCGACCTTCGGCCAGTACCTGGCAACTGCCACATGTAGGTCTCGACCCGGGATCCAGTGGTGGAGGGCTATAGCGTGACCCCTAAAGTTTGATGAGATGAAATCAAGGGCCAATATCATTAAACTGGTCTCATGCTTAAACTCTTCTGTGCTTTAACTCAATTTCCTGTTGTCTTGATAATGTCTAGACTTGACTTTTTGTACGCCCGTCAAATTTTACGGGAATATTATGGTATCTCCTCTTACATTTTTTTAACGGATCTCTTTGAACTTATTAGGCTTAATAATCATGATATGAAGTTGTGTCTCCCTTAAAAGAATTTTGATTCGACGATTTTTGCAAAAGTAATTGCCCTTTGTTCATTTCAGTATTTGATTTTTTGTCCGGAGATTTTCTCCTGCATTTTTTATAGCATGTCAGCTAACCACTCTTAGAATGATGCAGATCAGTATATAACACTATATGGCATTTGAAGGGCGTATATCGTTCCACCCCACGGTAATCATGTTGACCTTGTCTTGTGATTGAAGTAAGTTGTAAGGTTTGAGTACAGCACCTGCATTCATGAGACATTTTCATGCTCAAGTGTGGGTTCTGGACTGACACAATTTTTTGCCAAGATCTTGTTTCTTGGTTCTGCACAATTCAGGTTATTTTGTACTTTTAGTTTTTTTGATGAGAAACTATTTTTGTATATATAAAATTGTCAATACAAGTGATAAATACCACCTTGAAATAATTTCTGTATGTCTGATTTTAATTTCCAGATTAGTTAGAGATGTGACTGGGGCAGATGTTAACATGAGGGTCGGAATCCACAGTGGGCGTGTCCACTGTGGGGTCCTGGGACTCAGAAAGTGGCAGTTTGATGTCTGGTCCAACGATGTCACCCTGGCCAACACAATGGAGGCAGGCGGTGTTCCTGGGTAAGACAGCGTCCTTCAGATTGGTATATCTTGATTTTCATTGGTCCATGCATTCACTTATTTTTGTGCATGGTTCTGTTTCTCCTGACATAAAGTATCTCAATTACCTAAAATTAAAGCCAGACATAGAAAGAGTCTCTTTATAAAGACATTGGCTTGAACAGATAGTCAAGGATCCCCTGTCAAAAAGGGGTTTGTTAGATCACCTGGCCTGAAGGGCCAAGTGAGCTTATGTCATGGTGCGGTGTCCGTCGTCTGTCTTCTTCTGAATAACCAAGAGGCCCAGGGTGATGATATTTGGCCATAAGCATATGCTGGGATGAAGGGCTACCAAGTTTGTTCAAATGAATGACCTTTGCCCATTTTCAAGGTCACATGGGTCAAATATGTTTGAAACCTTGTAACAAATTCTTCGGAATAACCAACAGGCGCAGGAGGATTATATTTGACCCGTAACATTTTTGGATGAAGGGCTACCAATTTTGTTAAAATAAATTACCTTGACTTATATTCAAGGTCACAGGGTTCAAATTTGTTTAAAATCTTAATACGACTTCTTCTGAATAACCATGAGGCCCAGGATATTGATATTTGGCCAGTAGCATGCGTGGATAAAGGGCTACTAAGCTTGTTCATTTGAGTGGCCTTGACCCACTTTCATGGTCACATTTGGTCAAATATGTATAAACCTTTAAATGAACTAATCTCAATAAAGAAAAGGTCAAGGGTAGTGATATTTGAAAAGTTGCATCCTAAGATGAAGGGCTGTAAAGTTTGTTCATTGTAACGATCTTGTTTGATTTTCAAGGTCACAGGGGTCAAATGTTTTAACATCTTTTAATAGGTTCTTTTGAATGATTTATGGTCATAAGCACTGATATTTTGCCTATAGCTTTACTTTAGATCCCTTTTAAGGCTACAAGTGTGATAGTTATACCAGGTAAGCGATGCAGGCCCATGGGGCCTCTTGTTTGTGTTTTTCATCCTATTAACAGCTAAGGTCATTTAAGGCCAACGTGTCCGTCCGTTTTAGTGGTGGATGAAAGCTGGTGTTCTCAGAGGAAAAAACACCAACATGAAGCCAAAAATATTCTTGAGTAACATTCTCCTTAAATACGATAAGGCCTTATAATACAAATAAATAAAAACTAGTTAAATGTTTTGTTTGATAGTTTGGTGCACATAACGGAGGAAACATTGGGGTTCCTGAATGAGTGTTACGATGTGGAGCCTGGCAATGGTGGGGAGAGGAATACTTATCTCCGTGACAACAAAATCACCACTTACCTTATCCGCGGGGAACAACAGCGGATAAAGGTGAAACACAATTTACTGTCAATCTGAACATTTCACTGTTAATTTGAATAAGAGTTGCTTTTGTTTGACAGTTAATTTGAATGACATTTGTCTGGCTGTCGATTTTGATTAAAAAAATTCTGTTAGATAATCATTAATTTAAATGATAATGTTTCGTTTGACGATTAAAGATTTTTCTGCTGAACTGTTGATCTGAATGAGATTTTTCTGTTCGACTTTCAATTTCAAGAAGGTTTTTCTGTCATTGCTTTAACATTATCGATTATTAGGTCACCCAAGACGAAGTTAGGTGACCTATTGCTATCTCCATTTTTCCATCATTTGTGGTGCGTCGACTGCATCGTGCATCGGTAAACAGTTAACAGTTACTGTTTTGACATCTTCTACATAACCAATGAAATGATTTATTAAAATATTTTGCAGGCAGGGTCCATTGTCATAGACAATCAGTACATGTAAGTTATATGGATCTAACCCTGAAGGGCGGGTCCATAAGTTATTGTTCATGATGACAACTAATTGATCTGACCTAATGTATTCAAAACAGGAAAAGCCGAAAATTTCCCCGAAGAAATCTGCTAGGGGAAGACCACCTCAGGGAGGAGGGAAAAGTGCTGCAGCCAAGAGAATGGGTTTTGATGATGATCCTAATGCCAATATTCATCAAAAGTAAGCAACACACACAGTGTCATTAGATTTGTTAGTCCCTAGTAGGTACTGCTCAGGATTCTACTGTCATTGGACCCAGAACAGCAGAAAATACCTAAAACAGGACACTTGTTGGAAAATGGCCCAAGGAATTTTTATGCAATACAAAGTAGTATTTTTGTGCATGCAATTTTCACTTTTATGTCAACTTAAGTGTACATTGGCTTTATTGACTGCTTATTATGGTAAAACAGACAGTTTAAAGTTAAAAATAATTACGAAAAACTAAACTTCCTTAATTAACTCTTGTGTACAACAGACTCAGTATACATATTTGGATATGATTTTCAGAAGTCTATTATTTCAAAAGTAAAGCTAGTTTGGGGAGGATATTTAATCAGAACCTCTTCTGACTCTCAAATGTTTGAACCATTTATAATATTCTGCTGATATCGACCGATTAATGATATCAGCCAAAATACCAAAGTGTCCCTAAATTTTAGGTACAGTTACACCTCTTCAAGGACCCACGTGTCCTGATGGTATTTGATTTTCTATTTATTAAATATGATATCATTGAGTTGTGATAGAGTAAAAAAAAATATGATTAGCACTATCTGATAATCCAGACTTGCCTGAGTGTTAATTCAGGGGTATCTTTGTCATTTCGTTATTTAATGTAAACAAGTCCTGACGTATACTTGATTTGTCTGTTATGAAGTGGAACTCTATTGTAAGTGGATGCATATGTAAGGTATCATGATTATATCTTTAAGGTTTAAACCTGGTTCATATTTTCCTTACAGACTAGGGTTCGGAGATCACTTTGAGTCCAAGAACCCAGAAGATGAGGTTAACGAGTACTTAGGTCGTGCTATTGATGCCAGAAGTATAGACAAGCTTCGCTCAGACCATGTCACAGCATTCTTCCTTACATTTCGCAAGAAAGACCTGGAGGAAAAGGTAGATTGTCACTAATGACAACCATTCCCACGCCTTGCCCACACTATAGTGCTGCAAGCTGTCGCTATGGCAACCATTCCCATGCCTTGTCCACAGTATGGTGCTGCAAGCTGTCGCTATGACAACCATTCCCATGCCTTGTCCACAGTATAGTGCTGCAAGCTGTCACTATGACAACCATTCCCATGCCTTGTCCACAGTTTAGTGCTGCAAACTGTTGCTATGACAACCATTCCCATGCCCTGTCCACACTATAGTGCTGCAAGCTGTCACTATGACAACCATTCCCACGCCTTGCCCACACTATAGTGCTGCAAGCTGTCGCTATGACAACCATTCCCATGCCTTGCCCACACTATAGTGCTAGAAGCTGTCACTATGACAACCATTCCCACGCCTTGCCCACACTATAGTGCTGCAAGCTGTCGCTATGACAACCATTCCCATGCCTTGCCCACACTATAGTGCTAGAAGCTGTCACTATGACAACCATTCCCACACCTTGTCAACACTATAGTGCTAGAAGCTGTCGACAGAGGTATTTTAATGATTAGTTGAATAACAAGAAAAGTAATTTATAAAGTTGTCATTCTCACTTAATAAATCTGAAAAGAGTTTAATTGTTTCATGAAAATCTGGAAAACTGAGAAAAGCTAATTTAGATATTCCAATCTCTTGCATACTTTATAAAGACAATGAAAGGTTGTTTCCTGTTAACCTTGTTATTTTCTCTATAATTGTTTATAAAAAGTCACTAATGGGATGCAGACCTTTTTAGAGAATAAAGACATTTTAAATTGATTCATTGCAGTTAAATCTTAGCTTAATTAAGAAATGTCAAAACAGATAGGAAAATGGATAAGCTAGCTACTTCATCAGCAAGACCAGAAGATTCAATTTCAGTGGCAAGTCAAGATGTTTTGGTAAAAAGGAAATCATGATAAAGATTTATTTTTTCATTTATTACTCTCTGTTTTGCTAAAACTACACCTCATGATGGTCTGGGCCGGGCCCATATTCATGAAACTGTTCTCATGCTCAAACATGGATTCTGTTCTCGAACCAAATTACTTGCAACTTGTTTAGATTATTTGACACGGCCAGAAAGTCAGGTGTTATCATTGAAAACTGTATTCAGATTTGAAGTCTTTCCTACCTTTTTTAGAAAGTGTTTAATCTTTTTAGTTTATAACTGAAACTAAGAAATAGGGCTTGAACACCGAATCTGAGTTTGAGTACGAGAATGGTTTCAGGAATATAGGCCCAGGTAAAGATTTAATATAAATATCACAACCTTTTGTGTGGACATTGTGAAAAGCATTGTTTCTTTATCACAACAATAGGAAACCAGTTAAGATTTAATTGGAATTCAAGTTGCAGGTATCCAACACAGAATAAGATATTAATTTCAGTTCATTTTCAGAGAACCTTATTACCATTTTTGTCTTGCCGCCACAAAGTAGCAGAAGCGAGACTAAGGTGTTAAGTTTCAGGTGACGGCAACGGCGTCAACATTTAGCTTTTGTGTTTAAGTTAGTTTCAGTGAAAGTATAAGTGCTAGACCAACCAAACTTGGACCATAGATAAATCGTAGATAGTACATCTCATCAGCCCATGCATCAAATGCTGGATGTGGCCTACCTTTTATGGTCCATTGACTTTGTCAGCATCTCCATCAACATTAAGTTTTTGCGTTTAACTCATTCACCCCTGAAGACACATGTGAACTCCTCGAATTCAAAGGTTGGAATAGCTACTAGTTCATTATGAAATATCAGGGGTCAATGAGTAAAAGTTAGTTTCATTTCAAATGTCGTGTACATTGAATTTATTTCACCGATATGTGCATTGATGGTCAAAGCTGGGCATAGGCGAGACATATCAATCAGAATGGCTTGTTTTAAATTGTGTTTTATTCTTAATAATGTATTATTATATATTTGACATTTGACAGATTTAATTGGTGAGTGTAACAAGACGGATAGGTAACGTTGACATCAACACCCGTCCACAGTATACGATGCACATGTTCTACACTGCACTTTGACACGTCTTCGTTTCAGTCACTACCTACACATCTGCTGATTAAACCACGGCTGTTCTGTTACTAGTTATAAAACTTACGTAATGAATCATCTGATATTTGTCACAGTTTAATAAAGAGTATGTAACTACATGGTATATCTTTTCTAGGATAGTCATGTAGTGAATACAATGATGAATTAAAAATATTAAAAATAGAACACTTAGATTAAATATAGAACACTTAGATTAAAAATAGAACACTTAGATTAAAAATAGAACACTTAGATCTGTATTAAATGTTCAAGTCTCTATTCATGTGTATTTTATTCTTGGAACAAAAAATAATTGGATAAATTGGATTTTTTTGATTTTTTAAGGAATATTGATGTAAGGATAATGTATTTTTAGGTCACCTGAGCTTTGCTCAAGTGACCTATTCCAATCGCTTTTCGTCCGTCGTCGTCCGTCATCGTCCGTCGTCGTGCGTCGTGCGTAAACTTTTACATTTTCAACTTCTTCTCAAGAACCAGGGGATGGATTTTTTTCAAACTTGGTCAGAATCATCCTTGGTAGATGAGGCTTCAAAATTGTAAAATTGGGATTCCTACCCCCACCCCTGGGGCCAGGGCGGGGCCCCAAAGGGAAAATTATCCAATATTTCAAAAATCTTCTTCTCCAGACTCAGAGGTACTACAATTATTTTCTCTACGTGGAGAGAAAGATCATCAGGGGCGTTACTTAAATTGTAAATTTCAGGACCCCCAAGCTATCCGTTCTTCCTTGGGGAGGGGGTAAAGTTTACTATAGTTTATATAGGGAAATAACACTTTTGGGTATATTTTGACAACTTTCTGTAGGAAATTATTTTTACTTGGTGAGAATTATCCTTGGAGGTAGATGGTTTCAAATTGTAAAATTGAGATTCCTACCCCGACCCCTGGGGCCAGGGCGGGGCCCCAAAGGGAAAATTAATCAATATTTCAAAAATCTTCTTCTCCAGACTCAGAGGTACTACAGTGATTTTCTCTACGTGGAAAGAAAGATCATCAGGGGCTTTACTTAAATTGTAAATTTCAGGACCCCCGAGCTATCCGTTCTCCCTTGGGGAGGGGGTAAAGTTTACTATAGTTTATATAGGGAAATAACACTTTTGGGTATATTTTGACAACTTTCTGTAGGAAATTATTTTTACTTGGTGAGAATTATCCTTGGAGGTAGATGGTTTCAAATTGTAAAATTGAGATTCCTACCCCGACCCCTGGGGCCAGGGCGGGGCCCCAAAGGGAAAATTAATCAATATTTCAAAAATCTTCTTCTCCAGACTCAGAGGTACTACAGTGATTTTCTCTACGTGGAAAGAAAGATCATCAGGGGCTTTACTTAAATTGTAAATTTCAGGACCCCCGAGCTATCCGTTCTCCCTTGGGGAGGGGGTAAAGTTTACTATAGTTTATATAGGGAAATAACACTTTTGGGTATATTTTGACAACTTTCTGTAGGAAATTATTTTTACTTGGTGAGAATTATCCTTGGAGGTAGATGGTTTCAAATTGTAAAATTGAGATTCCTACCCCGACCCCTGGGGCCAGGGCGGGGCCCCAAAGGGAAAATTAATCAATATTTCAAAAATCTTCTTCTCCAGACTCAGAGGTACTACAGTGATTTTCTTTACGTGGAAAGAAAGATCATCAGGGGCTTTATTTAAATTGAAAATATCAGGACCCCGAGCTATCCGTTCTCCCTTGGGGAGGGGTTAACGTTTAATATAGTTTATATAGGGAAATAACACTTTTCGGTATATATTTTATCCATTTTCAGCAGAAAATTGCTCAAACTTAGTCAGAATCATCTTGGGTAAATGAGAGTTTTACTTTGTAAAATTAGGATTCCTGCCCCATCCCCAGGGGCTAGGGCGGGGCCCCAAAGGGAACATTTACCAATATTTTCAAATTCTTATCCATTGATGACATGACAAGTATTGTATTTCACTTAGTTTACATGCTGATTTCCACATCACATCTAAACAATAAAATAAAGCTACCAGTACCTATGATATAACTCAGGTGACCGCTAAGGCCCTTGGGCCTCTTGTTCAATATTATATCATATTTCACATTTGCAAATCTCTGTTCACTGCACTTCCAAATAAATCTGAAACCAATACTAAAGTAACATAAATTGCTGTTGTGTGTCATGATCATCAAATGTATGTCAAGAAATTATAAAACTTTGCTTTAACCGTTAACTTTGCTCTCAAAGTAAACTTTATATTCACAGTATAATTTTGTAGCTCAATTTGTGCTCAAAATAAATTTGTATTCAAATAAAACTTTATTCTTACAGTAAACCTTGTACTCAAAGTAAACTTTGTATTCAAAATTATCTTTGTATTTACATTAAATGTTTGTTATTATGTTAACTTTTTGCTCATAATAAATTTTATCTCACCATTAACTTTGTTACTCACAGTAAACATTGTACTCAAAAAAATCTTTGTACTCACAGTAAATGTTTTGCTCACGACAAGTTATAAACTCACTCAGTTAACATTGTACTCAAATTAAAGTGTACTCAAATAAATGGTTGTTAAAAATAAACTTTGTTCTCAAATAACTTTTTGCTCACAAAAGATTGAATATTCACAGCAATCTCTGCACTCAAAATGAAATTTGTATTCACAGTAAACAGTTTACTTATTATAAACTTTTGACTCATTGTAAAACTATGTACATTTGTTTTAACTTTTACTGTCATTGTACCAATAGTTGCAAACATCATGTAACTGTGGTCTGAAGACGGCCTCTCTTTGGCCGAAACAATTGTCAGCACGTAGGATGTAAATCAAACATTACATTTTGTTCTGGATTCAGTGGTGTTGTTGCTCATCATTTCTAGTTTCATTTGTTTTAACAGTTAACTTTTGTACTCATGGTAAACTTTATGCAGGAAAAGAAATGTGTGCTCACTCTAAATTTTGAATTTTAAGTTTAAAAAAATAACAATAAATTCTTTACTCATTGTTAGCTCTGTATTCCTAGTAAAGTTTGTACACAAAGTAATCATTTGATTACAATAAATTTTATTATAGCAAACTTTGTTCTCAAATTAAATTTTGTACTCACAGTAAACTTTATATTCCAAGCTGACTAATTGTACAATTGACAGTAAATTTTACACTTACTGTAACATTTGTACTCAAACATTGTACTGACTGAATTTTGTACTCAAATATTGTACTGACTGTGAATTTTGTACTCAAACATCGTACTGACTGAATTTTGTACTCAAACATCGTACTGACTGAATTTTGTACTCAAACATTGTACTGACTGTGAATTTTGTCCTCAAACATTGTACTGACTGAGAGTTTTGTACTCGAACATTGTACTGACTGAATTTTGTAGTCAAACATCGTACTGACTGTGAGTTTTGTGCTCAAACATTGTACTGATTGTGAGTTTTGTATTCAAACATTGTACTGACTGAGAGTTTTGTGCTCAAACATTGTACTGACTGAGTTTTGTATTCAAACATTGTACTGATTGTGAGTTTTGTCCTCAAACATTGTACTGACTCTGAGTTTTGTATCTGCAGTATTCTAAGGTGCGGGACACCATGTTCACCTCTCACCTTGGCTGTACACTCCTGATGCTGATGTGTATTGCTGTCATTCAGCTTGTCATCTTACCTCAGTAAGTTATGTTTAACAGACATTGTCCTTGCCAATGGTGTGGCTATGTAATTGTATTATACATTTAGTTTTACTTACTGTATACAGTGTTTGGTTTTATAGTGTTTAATGTCCTATTAACAGCTGAGTTATTTAAGGAAGTGCCTCCATGTGATGTGTGTTGTGAATGCGTGCTTGAGTGTGTATACTGGAGGCAGGGTAAGTTGGTGTACTTGCCTCTTTGTGATAGTGCAGAATTGATGCCAGCTTTATAGTGCTATCTCACTGAAATACCATGCCAAAGGCACCCAGCACAGCATTCCGCACTGTATATAGAGACATTTTTCACTGCTGTTTTCCCCCCCTTTTTTGCCTTCCAGAAGGAGGCCAAATTTATCATAACAGCCAACATAAGTTAACAACATAGTATACATAGCATTTAAAGATGTAGGGCAAATTTATTTACATGAGTTGGGCTAAAATAGATTTATTGTCGAAGGGCAAACATTTTACTTGGCAAAAAATTCCTTGCATACAATAGTTCCTTGTCCATTGTGACGGTTCATATTGGAATCAGTTGATGTTTAGTTCTGTGTTTCTTGTCAAGTTTTAAATAAAAAGTACTTTGCATTTCATTCGCAAAGCATGTAAAAACTTAAATGTTAAGGTCTAAATTCTTTTTGTTGCAGATCAACAATTCTAGCAATATTTTTCCCATCGTGTTTCATCATTGTCATTGTTTTGTTCCTGTTAGTCCTCTCCGAGTCATCCCAGGTAAGAGGTTTCTGATTTGTAAATCAGTTTGGCGACATATTGATAACAATAGCATTAATACAGTGGGAAAATCTTTGATATATTTTCTGACGCATCAATACTGGAATTTATATATATTTTATAAAAGGTGGAGGGAAAAGGACAGACGATACTTAAAATAATTTGAAAAAAAAAATAGACCAATGTGATTGAAATGCTGTAGTTAGTATTGTTTCTAAAACAGTAATTTTATGAATTGCTACATACAATGTTATCAACAGCAATAAAAAGTATGATTCCACATCTATTATTACTAGTGTGTTTAAATAGGCTATAGATTCGAGGGATCTACAACACATTTCCAAGTCTATGATTGTACTATAATTTGGGCCGATGTTTCCCAGCTATAAAGTGTATTTCAAAGGCAACGACTTTCGTTATTATTTATTTCACTGTTTTATTGAAACTTTTCAGTACACGCCCAAAGGACTGCGGTCAGCCGCCACTAAGATTGCGGTCAATAAATGGCTCAACCAGCTAGTGGCCATGCTGGCTGTCTCTGTTCTCTTTGTGGCATCCATTTTCGCCATGGTATGTTGATCTTGTTATTATTTACCGTGGAAATGATTATATTGTAATGTTAATTGTGATAAGAATCACTGGTAATTGAAACTCACTTTATTTTTCACATGTATTTAATTTCTTGAACTACATGAAATATGTTTGTAGGATTTTTTGCAATTATTAGCTCACCTGGTTTAAAGGACCAAGGTGAGCTTATGCCATACCGTTGCGTCCGTCGTCCGTACGTCAACAATTTCTTTAAACGACTTCTTCTTCTTAACCACTGATTGGAATTCAACTAAATTTAATTGGAAGCATTCCTAGGTGGTGGGGATTCAAAATTGTACAAATAGTGGGGCTGAGGCGGGGCCAAAAGGGGGCAATTTGGCTATATTGCTATAAACGACTCCTGTAGAACTATGCCATGGATATTGATCGTATTTGGTCGGAAGCATTCATGGGAGGTAGGGATTCAAAATTGTACAATTGGTGGGGCTGATCCCCCGGGCTAAGGGGAGGGGCCAAAAAAAGTGTATTACTTGGAAATGGTTGTGATCCCTACCATATAACCATGGTATACAATTGCTGAGTATAAAGAGAAGAATGCACATTTGCTTCCAGGATGGCCTTAGGGTCTGGCCCCACCCTTGGAGACATAGTCCCTGGGCCATAACTTTAAAACTGTTGAGATCCTCACCCCAAAATTATATATACAAATGCTGGGCATAAAGAGATGAATGCAGTCATGATATCAGAATAGACCCTGGTTTCTGACCGAACCCCTAGGGACCTAGTTTCTTAGTCAAAGCTTGGAAACAGTTGAGAGGCCCACCCTATAACCGTATATACAACTGCTGAGTATAGAGAGATGATTGCACATATGCTTCCAGGATGGCCTTAAGGACTGCCCCACCCTTGGAGACTTAACCCCTGGGTCATAACTTCAAAATGGTTAAGATCCACACCCCAAAACTATATATACAATTTTTGGGCATATATAGAGACGAATGCAGTCACGATATTAGAATTGATCCTGGGGTCTGGCCACAACCCTAAGAACCTAGTTTCTGAGTCAAAGCTTGCAAATAGTTGAGATCCCCACCGCATTACCATACATTGCTGGGCATGAAAAATCTATATATTCCCTTGATCTCATTTGAAGAATATTTTGCCATGATTGCTTAAGTATCCAGGTGAGCAATACAGGCCCTCTGGGCCTCTTGTTTAAATTTACCAATAAGAGGATGCTATTTAGACATATGGAGGGTATATCTCAATGATTTTTTTTAAATGGTATTCATTGCATTATGGTTTATATGAAGAAGATTACTGACAGGCAAGCTAAATAAAGGATCTTCTCTAAGTGTTCATCTTTCTATAATTGATTAAACTTTGCATAGCTGTTTAATAGTTCTGTTTTGTATATTTCAGTTTTTCCTTGGAACCACTAGTTACATTGAATGTCTTTCATCATATTATGGGATATCCCAATCCAACTTCACGATAAGCTTGGTGCACTTGGCAAATATCACCCGGGTTACTGAAACCAATATTTGCCACCAATCAGACGCGACGACACATTTCCCTGAACACTTTACCTTCTGTGTTATGCTGGCTATGATTGGCTGTGCGGTGTATGTACAAGCCAGCAGTGTGTTCAAGTTAGTTGTTCTGCTTATCATGTTGTTTGGATACTGTATTATTGTGGAGGTATTCTTCGTCAATTTATACGACAATCGGGACTTACTGTTGGTTGCAGAGAGTGGGTAAGTAAATTTTTCCTACCTTTGAATTTTTCGAAATATCACAAATTTAACTAGACCCATAGAATGTATATCAATTCTTGGAAAAGAGTCTGAAACGAAAGGGTGGTGCAGTGGCCAAGTGGTTAAGGCGTCTGACAGACTGCCACCACTAGCCCTCCACCACTGGGTCGCAGGTTCGAGACCTATGTGTGGCAGTAACCAGATACTGGCCATAGGTCGGTGGTTTTTCTCCCCTGGAACTCCGGCTTTCCTACACCAACAAAACCTGGCATGCCCTTAAATGACCATAGCTGTTAATAGGTCATAAAACACAAACCAACCAAACCTGAAACAAAAAATATTATTATTGCAGACACTGATTGGAGGAAAATAACTTAAAATATGTCTATTTGACAGACAGTATGGTCCTTGGTTGAGTGTTTTTAGAGTTAAAACTTTGTTATATTGCCATGATTTGTCAAGCAAAATTTTGGCGTTATAATGAGATTGCCTCTCTAACAAGGGAGATATATTAAGTAATTTTCAAGAAAAGAGGATTCAAAAGAGAAGAATTTTTAATTGAAACAAAAATGAAATTTATGAAAATAAAATTCAAAATATCAATTAAAGGGCCTTTTCTCCAGGTCAGTCAGGTTTAGGCAAACCGTAAAATTTATTTCAGATTACAAATCTCAAATGTATGTTTATGCATAGCCTGACAATCAGGTGTTATCTGTGTTTCAGTAAAGAGCTCCGTGACCCAGTTTCATTTATCCCTCTCAAGTGGGAAACTGTAGCTGTACTCGTGGTGCTAGTGGGGATACTTTTTGTACAGACACAACAGGTTGAGTCCACCTCCAGACTGGACTTCCTCTGGAAAGTACAGGTAAGCATGGGCAAGAAAAAGACAGATTTTAACAAGTGCTGATTGACATGGGGGCCATTACAAAAGTCCCCAAAACTACACCCATAGACACAAATGATGCTAATGAAAGTTGCAGTAGTTTTCGCAGCACATGCGTACACCTATACATACCGAATTTGGGCAAAATCAATGAAAATCTAATTTTCACTCAATCAGAGGCCAGTTTATGGCGGCCCTTTTGTTTAATCAGAAAAACAAAGCTGCAGTTTAGTGTTTGCTGTGTCATTATACACACACATACCGATCAAAATCGGTCAAGATCTAAATGTCAACCCATTGGAGGCCATGGCTGCATGTTGGATGACCAATTAAAATACAAAAAGCCATTTACACCCTGCCTTCCATTACCATTAATCATGTAAAGTTTCCTTAAATTCTGCCCTTTTTAGAAAATTGGCACATTGCTGGAAACCTCACTGGCAGAAGAAAATGGAAGAAACAATTTAGAAACTGAGCAAAAACAGAAGTCCCCAAACTTCATTAACAAGTTAATTATAGTGTACAGATTATTTTAATTTCCATGAAATTAATAAAAAGGTGCACTCAGTATTGTAGTAAGGTTGTTTGTATTCAGAAAAACTCTGAATGAAAATTATTGTAAGTGAATCTCCAGGATTGCATAATGTGTCCAAGGAGCCATAGTGGCCAAGTGGTTAAGGCGTTTGACATTCTGCTACCACTAGCTAGCCGTCCACCACTGGGTTGTGGGTTTGAGACCTACGTGGGGCAGTCGCCAGGTACTGGCCAAATATAGGTCATTGTTTTTTCTCCAGGAAATCCGGTTTTCCACCACCACCAAATCCTGGCACGTCCTTAAATGACCATAGCTGTTAATAGGACGTAAAACACAAACCAAACAAACCAAGGCTTGACTCCTGTATTGTATACAGGTTCATATAGCATAACCAGTGAAGTATTTGTTTGTGAAATTTGGCTGACTAAGTAGCTGTTATATATGTTCAAAATGTCGATCAAAAAGACATTTCATATATTTATAACAACTCAATGTACATACCCTTATATGGTGTAGCTGAACTGACGTCGATCTTTGAATTGCCAACTCATACTTTTTATACACATTTGTGTAGATACGCTTCACTGGTCGTTTGTCTGATAAAACTGACAGAGTACATTCTATACTAGTCATCAAACCATCATACTTCAACACTTCTATATGATAATTACCCTGGTACAGAGTACTAGCCACTTCCTACAGACTCGTCTAGGGAAAATAAGCTCATTTGGTAAAGCATAAGACTAGTAAACCAGAGGTCCCTGAGGTTCGAATCCTAGCAGAAGCATTGAAAAAATAATAACCTCTGTTACAAGATACTGTAATGATACAATCCATACATACCAACCTGAAGAAAATGTTTAGAAAAAGTACAATGTCTAAATCGTAATTTGTCAATCCAGACTTTTGACAAAACTGACTGTAGAATTCGGTTCTATCAAAGATAAGGCATAGAAAGTAGATACTCTACCATCAGAAACTCTTTGTAAACAGGCAAAATTCTCTAGTCCATGAGGTCTCTGGGTTAGAAAGTACACTGTGTTTTAAGCTGTATAAAAAGGCCATCTTGTGCGATGGAAGAATTTGGGTATAATTACACGGTATTATATTTGAATGTAATCTATACTTATCTCCATTGTAGGCGACGGATGAGAAGGAGGAGATGGAAAGTCTGCGAGCCTATAACAAGAGGCTTGTCACAAACATCCTGCCAATTAATGTAGCTGAACACTTCATGAAAAACACTTACAAGAAGGATGAGGTTAGTGGGCGTGGTCAGTGGTTGTGGCCAGTGGTTTTAGTCATCAGTCAGCATGGTCAGTTGGTGGGTTCAGTAGTTGTGGGATAGGTCAGTATGTGAGATAGGTCAGTATGTGGGATCCTTGACCAAGTGTAGCTAGTCAACATACTTGCCACCCTCCCTATTTAGGATTTTGGACCCTTAAATTTAGCATTTTCAACCAGTGAATTTGCTAAACTATTCCTAAATTCTAAGATCTGATAATTTCCTCTGAAAGAACAACTCAAAATATGTCATTTTAAAGGGTTATTTTGTCTCTAGGGAGTATATTCACACTTTATTTATGCTATAATTTTGAGCATGCAGAATCTCCCCCATGGAAATTTCAAAAGGTTGGCAAGTATGAGTCAAAATGTCCTGGTTTTTTAAACAATAAAGAAGTCAGAAAATGTTTACAGTTTAGCATAATTGATAAACAAGAATATCATTCTAATTAAACATTGTTTCACTGTTATTTTCTTTATAGTTTTAGTTTATTAAGTAAAAATAAAACCTCAATATAATGCCCCCTTGCATACCACCAACATCTTTTAACCCTTTCACCCCTATGTTACTTGAGTAAACTCTACCATGCATTGATTTGGATTAGTCCATTATGATTTACATTGGTGAAAGGGTCAAGTCCTGTTTTCTTATATTTCCTTTATATCTTTCCTTAGATATATGGCTAAATCCCTTCATAATGCCAAAAGTTAGCTTAACAAATGGTGGCACTATGACAAGGTCTCTCTGTATATAATACTAGTTGATCATTGCCACAGAAAAGATATAAGCCATTATAGTTAGATGGTGTTCTACCTTACCCAGGAGTTTGTAGAAGTCTCCTAGTCATCAGTATGTTTGTACCGTTCCTTGTGTTTGTTGGTGTGTTACAGGACCTGTACTACCTGGATTCGGAGAACTCGGGGGTCATGTTTGCCTCCATCACTAACTTTTCCGAGTTCTACATGGAGCTGGAGGGAAACAATGAGGGAGTGGAATGTCTCCGTCTCCTCAACGAAATCATTGCTGACTTTGATGAGGTACACTAATTACAGTGCTGAATGTTGGTATTTAAAAATTAAATAAGATGATGATTTAAAAGGAGGAAAATGACTCCACTTTTTATATCCCCGCAAGTTTGTGAGAAGGGTGGGGGGGTATATATTGGAATCACCCTTTCTGTCCATCTGTCTATCTGTCCGACTGTCTATGATCCTTGTGAGCGCAACTCCTCCTAAACTATGTGGTGGAATTTTTTGGTAACTTTACACAGTAATAGTACAATGTATGAAAATGTGCATGATGAAAGGAATTGGCATATTAAACATAATTGCCTGGAGTTGTGGCCCTTTCAACGTTGTAACTTAACAGCCTGTTGGACTTTATTGAAACTAGACACAGTTTAAGTACATGATGTAAATGGGCATGAAGAAAGGAGTTTGTGAGTTGACTATTTTACCTGGAGTTATGGCCCTTGAAACTCTAATTTTTGCTCCGGAAACATTGTAAGTGCAAAAAGGGGACATGATTGTCAAATATAAAGTTAGCCGTCATTGAAAATGGAGCTTTGTCATTGATCCGGCAGGGCAGGGGTTACTTAAAGCTCCATTAGCTACTTCCAATCTCTACTCAATAACTGATCTTGGGAAATTTTAGATTTTAATTTCTCAACTCTAAATGTCTTGCATCTTTATCTCCAGAATTATAATGAACATTAGAATATTAAACCATATCAAGAATAAAATCATAAGAAAATAATGTTTTAATTAATGTTACGTTTTTCCAAATTTGTAGCCTCTTTGAAGATAATTATTCACCTGAGAAATTTGAAATATCTCTAACACTGAAAAGTCAACTTTTTATTACTGAGGAATTCTTGCTTTGTTACCAAGGTACTTGGGGATGAGAAATTTGGATGTATTGAGAAGATTAAAACAATTGGGTCTACCTATATGGCTGCATCAGGACTGACCCCACAGACCAACTTCTCGGACATGAGTCATGTTGTTGCCCTCGCTGAATATGCCTTCGCCATCCAAGCACAACTGCAATACGTCAACGAGCATTCCTTCAACAACTTCAAAATCAGAATAGGTCTGTGAGATACTTCAGTAAAAGCATACATTGATTTAAAATTTGAATAGCCAATCACTGTAAAATATTGGTTAAGGTGGTGCAGTTGATAGTGCAATTGCCTTTCACCAAGGCGGCCGGGGTTCAATTCCCCGATCGGACGTGAAAAGGTATGGGGTCACCTGCACGACCACTTAGGTTTTCTCGGGGTACTCCGGTTTCCTCTCGCAATAAAACTAACATCTGGACCAACCAGAGTGATTAATATATAATGAAATAACTTGTTTCATAATTGTTGTAAAATAAATAAAGTTCATATTTTAAAATATTAGTTTCATAAATTTCATATTTATCCTCCAATAAGTCTGGAAGGTAAACACATCATCTTTGATGCAGTTAAAGGGGCATCACGGTGAAGTAACCTTATTTTTTGTCTTTTTTTCAAATACTACATAAACATATCAAGTGAGGCTCCTTATGGAAAATAACGATCGGATTTGGCTGAAATAGATTCATAAATATGATTAAATCTAAGAAAATCATCGGTATTTCTACCTGTCTGACCAACGTTTTGTTCAGGGATTTCCCTCTACTAGCGCATGCGCATAGCACACCATTTCTTTGTAAACAAAATGACTGGCCGTGTGAAGTAAGCGAAAGAAAAGTGTTGTACCGTGTCAGCTACGAAACGAAAGGTTGCCAAATGGTCAAAAGATAGCGCACGGAGTACGTTACGGAATCATTATTGTAGGTGGGCAGTATTCAAAGGAGAACATAACTGCCGTAGCAGTTAGTACGGTACATGTATTTTTCCGGATAGCCGGTAAAGCTGAAATGGAATTGACAGAAATGCTAGCGTTGTTTATATTATGAATAAATACCAAAAACTATTAAGCTCGCTAGTATCTTTGTCTGAGTTTGAACACAGATGAACTTAGTTTAATATGTTAATGGGCATGTATTCAATTGGAGAGAGTTTACTTTGTGTTTCTATAATTATTCAGTGGTTTATGCGAAAGGAAGGGATAAGTGACTGGTTAGTTTGATTTTTCCATGAGGCCCTCCAAGGGATAACTGTTGTGATGGCCCACAGCATATTTTCTGGGTCACCGAGATACGTGTTATCGAAGTCCGTGGATTTACATAATTTATAATATTACCGGGTTCAATAAAATGGTATGATTTAATTATATTGCTGAATTAAAAGATTATTTTTGTTCTAATATGAATACCCGGCCTCCTCTGCCCCGGCAATATATAAGAAAAATCAGAAAGGTTTGTCCGGTGTTTAGCCACGTACCATCTGTACCGGCCACATTCTGGTACTAAATTCAATATATATTTAAATATATCTACTTTATGTTTATGCCTATTATCATTGTTGACATTTCACTGTAAATGTATGACAGGAGAAGGCTGTGATAAATTGTAAAAAACTAGTGCCTCATCCCTTGTTTAATTTTATTGGCAACAAATTTATGTTTAAAGCTAAATAAATTTAAATTCTGAATATTGGCAAGTGATTACTGTTCAATAAGTTTGAATACGGACTTAAAAATCATATAACTTGGTTTCATAGTGCGGTAAGAAGTTGCAGTTGCCTACCAGCCCCTCTCTGGGGGCCCCTTTGAAAACCGTTTCATCTCGCTCGCAACACTTGTGTTTACTGCCTAGTCAGGTGACGTTATCGGCGCTATTTTTAGCAGGGCTTTCCCGAACAATTCAAGTGGTCAAACTGGACAATTGAACCGGACTATGAATATGGGGATAGCGTGGTAACATAAGTGGAAGTGCATACAATACATACATTCTGAAAGACCATGGTGAGCTTAATTATGCCATATACTGCAGCATCCGTCGTCCATATGTCGTCCGTCCATCAACTTTTCCTTAAAAACGCTACGTGTCATGAACGGCCAAGTAGATTTTGACTAAATTTGGTCTGGAGCATCCTTAGGCCTAGGGAATCAATTTAGTATAAAAGGTGGGTGTGGCACCCCTGGGGGCAGGGGGGGGGGGCCAAATAGGGAAAATAGAGGTAAAACCTTTAAAATCCTTCTTCTATCGTAGGGATTAAGTCCTTATTTAGTCTGGAGCATCCTTTGGCCAAGGGGACTCAATTTTGTATAAACAGTGGGTGTGGCCCCCCTGGAGGCAGAGAGCAGGCCAAATAGAGGAAAAAGAGGTAACCTTTGAAATCCTTCTTCTATCGTAGGGATTAAATCTTGATTTATTCTGAAGCATCCTTTGGCCATGGGGACTAACTTTGTATAAACGGTGGGTGTGGCCCACCTGGGAGCAGAGGGCATGGGCCGAATAGGGGAATAGAGGTAAAACCTTTAAAATCCTTCTTCTACCATAGGAATTAAAGGCTTTTATCCTAATTTAGTCTGGAGCATCCTTAGGCCCAAGGGGACTAAATTTTGTATAAACAGTGGGTGTGATTCCCTGGGGGCAGAGGGGCGGGGCCCAATAGGGGAAATAGAGGTAAAACCTTAAAAATCCTTCATCTACCATTGGGATTAAAGGATTTCATCCCAATTTGGCCTAAAGCTTGTTGGGCAAAAGGGATCCATTTTAATTTGTATAAACAGTGAGTGTGGGCCCTCTGCAAATTCTTCAAAATCCTTCTTCTGATGTAGGAATGACAGGATTTTGTCCAAATACAGTATGAAGCATCCTTCATTGAAGTGGAACCAATAATGTACAAACAGTGGGCCTGACCCCCCTGGGGGCAGAGAGGTGGGCCCAATAAGGGATATAGAGGAATAGCTTTAATATCCTTTTTCTTCCATTGGGATTAAGGTATTTGACCAAATTTGAACAGTAGCATCCTATTGGAAAGGGAAATCAATTTTGTATAAATGGAAGGTCTGAACCCCCTGGGGATTGAGGGGTGGGGCCCAATAGGGGTAATCTAGCAAATTCTTTAAAATTCTTCTTCTTCTGTAAGAATGACAGGATTAAATCTATATTTGGTCTAAAGCATCCTTTGGTGAAGGGACTTAATTTTGTATAAACATTAGGTCAGGGTAGAGGGGTGGGACCCAATAGGAGAAACATAGCAAATTCTTCAAAATCCTTCTTCTTTTGTAGGAATGAAAGGATTTTGTCCAAATTTAGTATGAAGCATCCTTCGGTGAAGTGGAATCAATATTGTATAAACGGTGGGCCTGACCCCCATGGGGGCAGAGAGGCGGGCCCAATAAGGGATATAGAGGAATAGCTTTAATATCCTTTTTCTTCCATCGGGATTAAGGTATTTGACCAAATTTGAACAGTAGCATCCTATTGGAAAGGGAAATCAATTTTGTATAAATGGCTGGTCTGACCCCCCTGGGGCCTAAGGGGTGGGGCCCAATAGGGATAATATAGCAAATTCTTTAAAATTCTTCTTCTTCTGTAAGAATGACAGGATTTAGTCTATATTTGGTCTAAAGCATCCTTTGGTGAAGGGACTTAATTTTGTATAAACATTAGGTCAGGGTAGAGGGGTGGGACCCAATAGGAGAAACAAAGCAAATTCTTCAAACTCCTTCTTCTTTTGTAGGAATAACCGGATTTTATCCAAATTTGGGACAAGGATCCCTTGGGTGAAGGGGAACCAATTTTGTATAAACTGTGGGTTTTAACCCCTGGGGCAGAGGGACGGGGCCAAATAGAGAAAATAGAAAAATAGCTTTAAAATCCTTCTTCTTCTGTAGGAATGACAAGATTATGTCCATATTTGGTCTAAAGCATCCTTGGTTGAAGGGCAACTAATTTTGTATCAATGTTGGTTCTGAACCACCTGGGGGCAGAGGGGGCTGGGCCCAATAGTGGAAACATAGCAAATTCTTCAAATTTCTCCTTTTCCTGTAAGAATGACATGATTTTGTCCAATTGCATATAAATATAACCCCTGACTAACCATATGCATGTACAGCAACATCTGGCTATTTCAACTTCAATTTTGCTAACATTTCCAGGTGAGCAATACAGGCCCTCTGGGCCTCTTGTTACGTTTTTAGCCTAAGCACTTCATGATGCAAACTAGCCTAAGCACTTCATGATGCAAACAAGAGTGATTTGTTCCTTATTATACGTCCGTCAAGTTCCGCTGGACAACATAAATTTTTGTTTGTCCAGCAATCTCCTCCTACATTTTTCGACTGATCTCTTTGAAACTTGGTATACATTATAATCATGATATGAAGTTGTGTCTCCCTTAAAAGAATTTTGATTCAACAATTGTCCCAAAAGTTATTGCCCTTTGTTCAATTCAGTATTTGATTTTTTGTCCGGAGATTTTCTCCTACACTTTTAGGTCACCTGAGACAAAGTGACCTATTGCGATCGCCTTTTGTCCATCGTCGTCCGTAAACAATTTACATTTTCGACTTCTTCTCCAAAAACCCTTAACCAATTTCAATGAAATTTTGCAGAAACCTTTCATGGCCGAAACTCAACATAAATGGTGACTGATTTGGTCCCCAGGCCCAAGTGGCCTGCAAGGCGGGGCCAAAAAGGGTCAAATTGACTAAAATTTCAAAAATCTTCTCCAAAACCGCTGAACCAATTTCAATGAAATTTTGCAGGGACCTTCCATGGACAAAGGTCAACAAAAATGGGGTCCGGTTTAGTCCCAAGCCCCCAGGGGCCTGAGGGGCGGGGCCAAAAAGGGTCAAATTGACTAAAATTTCAAAAATCTTCTCCAAAACCGCTGAACCAATTTCAATGAAATTTTGCAGGGACCTTCCATGGACAAAGGTCAACAAAA